TGTCTGTAATGGCCGCTCAGTCAGTCTGCCTGTAATGGCCGCTCAGTCAGTCTGTCTGTAATGGCCGCTCAGTCAGTCTGTCTGTAATGGCCGCTCTGTCAGTTTATCTGCCAGTAATGGCCGCTCTGTCAGTCTGCCTGTAATGGCCGCTCTGTCAGTCTGCCTGTAATGGCTGCTCTGTCAGTCTGTCTGTCTGTAATGGCCGCTCAGTCAGTCTGTCTGCAATGGCTGCTCTGTCAGTCTGTCTGTCTGTGGCTGGCCGCCAGCCAGTTCCTCGCTCGGGCCGTGGCCTTCGCCTTCCGCGGCCTGTAATGGCCGCTCTGTCAGTTTATCTGCCAGTAATGGCCGCTCTGTCAGTCTGCCTGTAATGGCCGCTCTGTCAGTCTGCCTGTAATGGCTGCTCTGTCAGTCTGTCTGTCTGTAATGGCCACTCAGTCAGTCTGTCTGCAATGGCTGCTCTGTCAGTCTGTCTGTCTGTAATGGCCGCTCAGTCAGTCTGCCTGTAATGGCCGCTCAGTCAGTCTGTCTGTAATGGCCGCTCAGTCAGTCTGTCTGTAATGGCCGCTCTGTCAGTTTATCTGCCAGTAATGGCCGCTCTGTCAGTCTGCCTGTAATGGCCGCTCTGTCAGTCTGCCTGTAATGGCTGCTCTGTCAGTCTGTCTGTCTGTAATGGCCACTCAGTCAGTCTGTCTGCAATGGCTGCTCTGTCAGTCTGTCTGTCTGTAATGGCCGCTCAGTCAGTCTGCCTGTAATGGCCTCTCAGTCAGTCTGCCTGTAATGGCCGTTCTGTCAGTCTGTCTGTAATGGCGCTCTGTCAATCTGCCTGTAATGGTGCTCTGTCAGTCTGTCTGTAATGGCCGCTCTGTCAGTTTATCTGCCAGTAATGGCCGCTCTGTCAGTCTGTCTGTAATGGCGCTCTGTCAGTCTGTCTGTAATGGCCGCTCTGTCAGTTTATCTGTCTGTAATGGCCGCTCAGTCAGTCTGTCTGTAATGGCCGCTCTGTCAGTCTGTCTGTAATGGTGCTCTGTCAGTTTATCTGCCTGTAATGGCCACTCTGTCAGTCTGCCTGTAATGGCCGCTCTGTCAGTTTATCTGCCAGTAATGGCCGCTCAGTCAGTCTGTCTGTAATGGCCGCTCAGTCAGTCTGTCTGTAATGGCCGCTGTCAGTCTGTCTGTAATGGCCGCTCAGTCAGTCTGTCTGCAATGGCTGCTCTGTCAGTCTGTCTGTAATGGCCGCTGTCAGTCTGTCTGTAATGGCCGCTCTGTCAGTCTGTCTGTAATGGCTGCTGTCAGTCTGTCTGTAATGGGCGCTCTGTCAGTCTGTCTGTAATGGCGCTCTGTCAGTCAGTCTGTAATGGCCGTTCTGTCAGTCTGTCTGTAATGGCCAGTCAGTCTGTCTGTAATGGCCGCTCAGTCAGTCTGTCTGTAATGGCCGCTCTGTCAGTCTGTCTGTAATGGCCGCTCAGTCAGTCTGTCATGAGTGAGGGTTTGAGGTCTCAGTAATGTCTGTGGGAGCCTCTGGTCACTCCCACCTGTCACATTTACTCCACACTGTGTGTGATCTCCTCACCCTCTCCTCCTTATTCCATTACAATTCCAACCTGACTAAAGCAGACTAAAAATACTACAAATAGAGGTGGACATGTTCTTTAATTGCTGGGTAATCTGCTGAACTCCTCATTACTTATTACCACTGTCACTTGGTCAGTTAATCAATATGATTTACACTGATCGATCCCTAATTATTATTATTATTATTATTATATTTATATAGCGCCAACAAATTCCGTAGCGCTTTACAATGGGATATATTAAAACCTTTACTACTTTTAATAAATATTTACCATACTGATTTCAACCTATATTATATGGCATTGCCAATCCAAATACTGCAAACAATAGAATGTGGAATTTGAAATGTCACCATGGTAATTTTAGCCCCAGACAATCTGTGCATATGTGGAGGTTGTGCAGGAAGGCTGGAGGAGGCAGCATTTTGGCACCTCAATACCTTGGCCCATCCCTGGTTAGAATGGGGAAGTGGGATAATACATGTTTTAGCATTCTTCATTATTTATATAATTATTTTTTTAGAACGGGGAGTGTAGGGAAGCAGCGCTTTACAGATAAAATCCTTGTGTAGAATGGAGCAAATATAGGAGAAATAACAAAATGGGACAGAAACACAAATATAGTGTACTATATCTAAAAAAGCAGAGGCAAAATACAAAGAAAAATATTGCACTCACACTTTTCTGGAGCTAAAAATCAGCTCCAGACCACAGCGTATGGACGGTATGTTACGATTGCCCCCGGTCTAGCAGGAGGGTTGATCGCTTGGATGTCCTGGTTCCCGAAGTCAGAGAGTCAAACGTGGTTCCATTCGGTAGAATCTGCAAGTGTAGAATATCCCACTAGCTGTAAGAGCGCTAATATTCCCGGATCCCTACAACACGAGTCGAGGCTGCGAGTTGAGGGTCAAAACGAGCTGGCTTTCCTGGCACACAAGCATGGCAATTTATGCAAGTCCCCAGGTCCAGGGACAGCCCCCTCTGGACCTGATGGGATACAGGTACCGTACAAGTATTCAACTAATCACCATACAGTGTATCATTCAAACTAGTACCTGCCCAGCTTGGAGATAATGAAGCCAACGGTTATACAATCTAATTATCTCCAAGCGCCCAAAACGACCATGCTTTATTATGTCCCAGAAAACAACATAAAAATATATAATTCAGGGATTATCCAGTGAATATAGTCCTTTCTACATATCGTTCGGTAGCTCCGCGTTGGATGCATTAGGTGTGCGAATAGCGCCCAGTTCCCACAAACAGAACAGGAGATTTCTGCCGTATGAAATCCTGTTCGGTAGTTGGTTTCCAAGCCCTCGATGGCGACCATGTTTTTGGGTCCGTCAATGGCCAGCAGGACCTCGATGCTGTACTCATGGAGCGAAGGCTGGGTACAGAATCATGCGAATCCCCGCTCCCCGTCTGGTTGTCCCGTCCGTTCGTGGTACGAATGAAGCCCGCACGGGAGAGGCACTTA